TTGCGATATGTGGGCCTCTCACTGTCGTGGCCTCTCCCGTTGTCGGACGCGCAAGCTCAGCGCCCATGGCTCACGGGCCCAGCCGCTCCACGGCACATGGGATCCCCCCGTACCGGGGCACGAACCCGTATCCCCCGCATCGGCAGGCGGACTCCCAACCACTGCGCCACCAGGGAGGCCCTGTTTTCTTTTTTTTTAAGCTGTCACAAAGTATGCAGACTTGGGCAGGCCCCATCTTTGTAGCCAAGTCTAATTATAGATGAACTAGAAGTTTTCGTTTGAAAACTGTCTAAGAGTTAAAATTTCAATAAAAGCAGAATAAGGATTTGTCAAGGATCACCAACGGTTTAAAAACTAGGCCAGACGCCTTTTCCTTTAAGAGGGGTTTGCAGGATCCTGCTGAGGCCTGTTTCCACGTGTGGGCAAACAATCTCTTAGTCCCCTGCCAAAATACTTCCATTGTGAGAACGCTCCAGAAAGGGCCTGCCAGGCAGAGAGGCAGGGGCCTCCCATAGACTCTGCCTGGCTCCTGGGAGAGCGTCACTCTGGTTGATTGGCAGGGATGCCAGTGCCCTGCACTCTAACAAGTGATTCTTATGTGCGCTTTTGGCAGCTCTGCCCGCAGTGACGTCAGATCTTTCGAAGCCCTCGGTTGGCAGGCTGGCATAGATCTTAGCAGAAAACTATTGCGAGTGCGGTTTGAACAGCAGACGCGTCAGATTGCCTCTGGCACGAAACTCCTGGTCCCCGAGGCCACCTGGGGTCTCCGGCCCACTCCACAGGTAGCTCAGGGCGTCCACAGTTCATTTCCCTCTTTGGCGTTCCAAAGAGGGTGTCAAAGGGTAAAGGCCCTCAGGAGGCCACAAACACCAGAAACGTACGCATCTCTGCTGTCACAGTAGCCGCCCGCCCACGTTTTTTTTCAGTTTGGAGACTACCAAATATCAGGGTTGAAAGAGAGATGAAATCATGACTTTGAAGCAGACGTAAATTCCTAAGGGAAACTTGGAGGGAGAAGCTCGCCGCAACTCATGCTTGAAAAGTTGCGTGCTGAGCCCTCAGCCTTGCCAAGGACATAAGTGCACGGCGTGTTTGTGGCTGGTGGTGGCGAAGGCTTCTTTTCTTTCTTTAACTGACATATCTCTCAGAGGCCGGTTTCCACGAGCTTTACATTTTCTGAAAAACATTTTCTGGTGGGTATTCAAAGGGGAACACAGGACTGATAGGCTAGCTCAAGTTGCAGAGCTAGCAAACTCAACGGAGTTCTTTCCAGACACTAGGGACTGAGAAAAGAGGGCACAGCCCGGAGAGAGAGGACCAAGAGAGGTCCAGGGAAACAAACTCAACCCAGTGCACAGAGACGAAAGATGGTACCTGGAGTCAGAGGAAGCCGGCGTCCACGGCACAGCCGCGAGAGGGTACACACTTTCTAGAGGGCAACTTGGCAACACGTATCCAGAGCCCTAAGAGGTGTAGCCAAGGTCCTTAAATTCCGCTTCTAGGATTTGCCCTTAGGAAATAGGCAGCTTTGTGAACTGGGCATAGGTACCAGGATGCTCGCTGCAGAATATTTATATTAGTGAAAAACTGGATGTGAGCTAAAGATCCTGTAACAGCAGATAACCTAAATTATGGGAGAGCTATTCCTTAGCATACTATGTGGTCATTAAATATTATTTTGTCTCGTGGTTACCAGCAGTGGGGAGGGGAGGGGGAGATACAACCTATTGAGTATAAGATGGCTCAAGGGTGTATTGTACAACACGGGGAATAGAGCCATATTTTGTAATAACTGTAAATGGAGAGCAACCTTTAAAAATTGTGTAACAATTTAAAAAGTAATTAACTATAGAGTTAAGCAATATTATTTCATGAGAGAATACTTAAATGTTATGTTCTACAGCTGAGGGTAGAAAGTTAAGGCATTAGACACCAGGGTGCTGGCAGTGATCTGTTTCTTTATCTTGGTGCTGGTTACGCGGGTGTGTTAGGTCTGTGACAATTCATTGACCTGCACCCTTATGATATGTGCCCCTTACTCTTTAGTAAAAAGTTTGAAAAGGTAGTTTCCTAAGTAGAACGTTCATTATGGTACAAACTATATTAACATATTCCATATATGTATGTGTGTGTATATATGTACGTGTGTATACACACAGATTTGAGAAAAGGAACTACGCTCCAAAATGTCAGCAGTTTATCTCCTGGTGGTGTTACCATGAATCGTTGCCCTTATTGTGCTGTGTCGGTCTCCAATGAATACGTATGATTTCTGTAACAGCCTCCAAAACTTTAATAGATGTTAATTTAAAAAAAATGGTCAGAGGCATGGAAAAGCACACCAAATACAGATAGAAGTCACAGTTCCTCGTCCAGGGCTCGCCGGCTCCCCTGGGGTGGGTACGAGTGGTCCCCACCATGCGGCTGCTGGCGGCCCGCGTGGTGCCTGGCCCCCAGCACCCTGCGGCCAGGGGTGACCGGGAGGCAAACACTCTGTCTCAGCGAGGCCTACGACCAGATAGATCCCTGCGTCCTGAAGCCCACTGCTCTGTCCTTCCGGGTATGGCTTCTGTGCAGGCTCAGAAATGGCCACGAGAAGGGTCCCTATCAGGGTCTGAGGTCTCTCAGGATCCTAGCGGGCTCCCTTGATTGCAAACTCAGACGCACGTGAACTGGAGGCCACGGTGGGATGGGGTCATTCCAGGTGAGGACACTAAGCCTCCTTCTGGGGGAGACTAGGTTCCCTGGCACTCAGGTAGCTTCCATAAGGGGCCGGGGGCAGGACGTGGCCCTCTCTGTTCGAGATCTTTCTGGGACCTCTTGGAGGTCTGAAGAGCAACAGATTGGCCCTCGGTGGGGTTTTTCGAAGGGGAAGATTCTCCGGAAAACATCATCAGTTCCATTTGATTAAAAGAAAAAAGATGATTAGAGACAGAATGGTAATGTAATAGATGAAAGAACAGCAGAATTCACAGCTGAAATTTATGGAACATTTATGACCCAGGCACTACCCATAAATTATCCCATTGAAGCCTCCTAATAGTTCTAAGAGGTAGATCTTACTCTGACTCCTGTTTTAAAGATGAGATAACCAAGGCTTGAAGACATCTGATAACTAATCAAGGATGCTTGCCCCTGCAGAGCCCGTGCCCTCAGCTCCCACATGGTAGGACGGCTACAGTTGGGATGAAGTGTCCCGAGGAAAGTCTATGAGCTCTGGTGGGTGAGCTCTTCAGTGTGCCCTGAAGGTGGGGCAAGAAAGGGTGAGCTTCTAAGAGGGAAGACTTAAGGAGATTTTAAGATCCTTGCTCTGTGAGGGTCATTTCACCTGTCCTTGAGGATGAAGAAACCACCACACAGCCATCTTGCTGGGATATGTAGTGGAAATAATACAGTTGGAGACTCAAAAGAACCACGGCCTCGCTTTGAGTGGGTGAAATTCATCTCTTTGATCTTAATTTTCCCCATCTGTGAAATGGGGTTAATTAGCGCTATCCTGCTGATCTGTTAGCAGGACTGGATTTAATGTGGCAGACCTGGGCGTGGCAACCGGGACATCACAGGTGCTGACTGATGGAGTGATGGCTGTCATGTTTTCCTGCGCCTGGAGCCAGGCAGGTCGAGAGGCTCTTTGTCGACCTCATGTGGACAAGCTAATGGATGACGACCCAACAGAGAAGGTGGGGAGGCGCACGAAACAGTGCACTGCCGTTCTGTACTGCCATGGCTTTCGTATGCCTAAGCCCGGACTAATTAGTATTAAATTACACGTCATAGTCAGTATTCCTGGAGATAGAGGAAACTATAATGAGAAAGAATGAAGGAAAAGCAATCTCCTCACCTCACAAAACATAGGCAACTTTTTGGCAAAATCCACCACTCTGGTAATTGCTGGTGTGATGATTTTTGTAAAATGGCTGAAGGCTTCCAAGTCGACCTTTCCACCTTCTGGGGCGTTTACTATTGGCGCTTGTCCAATGTCTTCTGGCTGAGGTGAGACAAAGAAAATTTAAATGGAGACATCGAAGGGATCATGGATCACGGATCACGGTTCTCACGCGGCAGAAAATCTCTTCTGAACTGACACTGTACACTTTCTGCATCTTTTGTTAACAGACCCTACAGTTTTCATGTCCTTTAGTTCTCTGAGCAAAGATACCTGTCCTGGCCATTGCTTTCAAAGGCCCCCAGTGATCATGGTCACAGGATTGTTGCTGTAGAAAGAAAGAGAAAGTGAGAGAGAGAGAAAGAGGGAGAGAGGGAGGAACAACAGGAATTTGGGTTCTGCTTCTGAGTGCAAAAAGGTGACCTATGCTCTGGGGGCTCTGGGCGCCGTCTTCAGAGCACGGCGCACTCTGGAGGGTGCCTTTCTGTGGGAGGTGGGCGCGGCGTGGGCAGGGATGGGGAGGTCTGGCCCACAGCACCCGGGGGCGTCGTTCTTGCTTCTGATGCCTTTTGCTTGGCTCGAGCCCTCCACACGCCAGCTGGAGGAGGCCTCCGTGGGCTGGGGGAAGCCCTCTGCTTTGGGTCGCCTCCAGGGGCTGGGCTGTGTACACTGGGCAAACTGGAGGGCAGAGTGGAGAATTTACTAGTACGACTTCTCTGCCCTTGTTCGCAACCATCCATCGCCTTGCTGCTCACAGGGTGGGTGTCAGCAGCTTGGGTGTCATCTGGAGACTTGCTGGAAACGTAGAATCCTGGCCCCCTCCCCAGACCTACTGGTGCAGGAGCATCACGTGCGCAAGCCCTCAGGCGCTGTGCACACGCCAGGCCCCCATGTCCACTGGGGCCTTCCAGCTCCTTGGCCTGCTGTCCAGTGACCGCCATGCTGTGGCCTCTCCACTATCTGCTGTTGTCAGCACTGCTCCCTGCCAGGGACAGTCCTCCCAGTCACCCTTACTGGTCCTTGTGATGACAGTGACTGCCTCAGGGGGTTCTCACCCAATTCCCGACAGGCAGGTGGGCAAAGGAGCACCCAGGGAGGTTAAAGACGGTCCCCTGAGGCCAGGACTGATTGCTGGTCTTCCAGGAAGTTGTGATGGGATCAGAGGACCCTACCCTGCCCGACGGTGACCCTCTTTGCCTAGAGTCACGGTGCACATGCAGGAACCAGGCAGCAGGGTGGGAGGCGTGGGAAGCGGGGCAGAGAGGGCAGCGGGTACTGGCTCTGTGAGCCTGCTGAGCCGTCACCACTGAATGGCTGGTGAGCGCACCGCTGGTGACAAGACCGTGGCCTGCCTCCAAGGTCCCCAGACTTTTCTGTGCATCAGAATGACCCCCCAGGCTTTCCAATTTAGTAGGTCTCTGTTAGAGAATCTGAGTTCCTAACAACAACTTCCTAGGGCACTGATGCTTCTGGTCTAAGCCCACACTTTGAGAACCACGCACTGAGGAACCCACTTCCCATTCCTCTTCCCCCATCTCCCCTGTTACTGCTCACGTCTAAGTTTTAGCAGTAACAGGGGAGATGGGGGAAGAGGAATGGGAAGTGGGTTCCTCAGAAGAAAAGCAAGGATGATTCTTTCACTCTCGTTGCCAGGGCACCAGGGTCAACAGGAACAGCCCAGGCCCTCCAAAGTGTGGTCAAAGTTGTGGGTACAGCCTGGGGAAGGACTTTTAAATCTATTACATAACAAATGCTGGCAGCATTGACCTTTTTGGAATTCTTCTGTTTATTTTATTTTACTTTTTTTATTGTTTGTTTTGGGGGCAGTGAGTGGATGGGAAAGAAAGCTGGTTTACGTCTTGTTTCAGAATCAATGACGATATTTTGGGGCAGCTGCTGGCATGGCAAAGCCTAGGAAGGCTACTGGTTCTCCGGGTGCAGACGGAATTGATGGAATAATCACATGTACAGCTTCTCTCACTCTCTCTCTCTCTCTGTCTGTCTCTCTGTCTTTCTCACACAGACTGAGCTACGGGAAAAGGTACACAGAAAGTCTGGGCGTGATTCTGATACACAGTGAAGTTTGGTCACTGCTACTTCTGGCATCCTTCAGACCTCCTTGCTGGTCTTCCTAATCCCTGCCACCCCAAAGTGCGGCCTGTCTCACCTGCGTGTCTACTGTACGGCTCTCTTATGAAGATCAACTGATAAAAGGAACATGGTCACACATTAAAAAGGTAGGGAGGTGTACACACACACACATGTAGGGTGAACTTTTTAAGAAATAAAAATATTTTAATAACATAGCTTTGGCCTGGAATGGTCTTCAGCGGCTTACTATGGATGTTAATAGTTTCCATTTAATCTGTGAGTCTGTGGGGCATATGAATCACCGTCTGTGATACCTCTAAAGGTTTGAAAAATAGGAGGGAAATTATACAAGGAAATATGACAATTTTAACTAAAATTAAATGCCCAAATGTAACAACCTCACAAGCTTTCCTGTTGATAAATATCAGAGTAGGAAAAAAATTTACTTTTAAGCCTTTGGGTATTTAATGGAAAATACAATTGCTAGAAGTAAAAACACATACAAAGTAAAAGCCTTCTATTACATTATTAAGCTTTATATCCATAATAGGTCTTGGATACTAGAAAAAAACATATAGGAGCTTGGTGTGGCGTCTGCTGGTTCCAGGAGATTTGAGCTCCAGCCAGGATGATCGAGGTTGTTTGCAACGACCGTCTGGGGTGAGCCTGGAGCTTTATTACCAATAGAGCAGAGTTCCTTCTTCCTGTCCTACCCTCTTCCCACACCCTCGCCCCCCACACTAATATGGATGCTTGTTTTTGAAAACTCATGTCGGTAAAAACTTAGAGGCTGAAAAGGAAAAATATATGAATTGACCCAAGTTAACACATCAGGAAATACAATTAAAGTTGAGCTTGTTTGTGACTTCCCTGAAGGTTTTTTACCCATAAGGACAACACATTATTTGCTAAAATATTTGGAAGATGTTAAAAATAATAGAGTACCAATATTTGGCACAATTGAATCTACTGGATAGCTTCTTACAGCTAGTAGCCTATAGTGCACTCCCTGAACACGTGTGCTCACACACACATGTGTGTTTATGCACATGAGATCAAACTCGGAGGCTGAGGATAGGTGAGGCTTGCAGGCTCACCACTGGGGACTGTGGGGAAGCTGCTTTTTGCCTCTGTGGATCAAAGTGCTTGAGCTGCTCAAAGGGGTGGGCAGGGGGCCCTAATGGACCTCCGGAGCCTGCCCTGCCTGCCTCTTCCCGTCTCTGCCACAACTTGATTCATGCTTTTCCATCTCGGGGCGGCCTTCCTTCTGGACTTTTGCTTTCTTCAGAGTCCTCACTTCTGTCTCATCTCTGCCAATTCCAAATCCCACCCACTTCCAATTCTATCTTCTCCTCGAAGCCCTCTCAGATGGCCTCAGTGGGAAATGATTCTACCTCATTTGAATACACCTGGTGGCCCATGTAACCACTCATCTGGCATCTAGGCACTTATTACTATTACTTTTATTGTAGTTATGCAGGTACACATCTAAGATATGAACTTCTCAAGGTGGGGAGATATGCCTTGAGTATCTGTCTACTGTGTAGACGGCAGTGGGCCAAATGGTGGAGGATTGAGGGAGTGAATAAACCTGTGTTTATATATGCACTCAACCAATGTTTATTGAGCAACTACTATGGGGTCAGGCCTTGTTCGAGATGCTGAGGTGACAGCAATTAACAGTGTATCCTCAAGAAACCTTCATACAGTGAAGGCAGACAGACAATAAATGAAAAGAATACTCTCATGGAAGAATTTTAGTTTGTGATAAGACTGGAGATGACTTAATAATACTTGGGGCTCAGGAGGTAGGGTGGTCAGCCAGGCCCCTTTGAGAAGTGATGTGTGAGCTTTAACTTGCAGAATGTCAAGAAGGCAGCCTTCCACAGATGCAGAGGACATTTTAGGCAGAGGGCAAACCCAGTGCAAAGTCCCAAGGTCAGAAAGGAGGCCCGTGTGGTTAGGCCCAGAGGTGGCATGAGATAAAGGATGGAGGGGCAGCAAGGGTCCCATCGTGATGGGCCTTCAGGGCCATGGAGGGGAGATGGGCACATTTTAAATACCATGGGGCACTGCTGAAGGGCTTTTAAACAGGGGAGCAGCATGACGAAATTTATGGTTCTAGTGGAGAAGGGATGTGGTTGCCGAGGAAGAGGCGGGAGAACAGCAGCAGTGGTTTGGGCAGGAGATGAAGTGGGCTGGACCACGGGGGCAGCAGGAGAGATGGAGAAAAGTGGGACTTGGAGACATATCTAGGGAGCCCAGGGCAGGGGTTTCTGATGGACTGGAGATGGGGTGAAGGTCAATAAGGAATCCAGCACGTATCCTCTGGGGCAGTGGAGGGGGGGACCTATAGAAGGAGAGATTCAGGGGTGTATGCAGGTGTGGGCTTCAACCCTAGCTCAGCACTAGAGGTGGCTGGTATGACACAAATCGAGACGAACTGGGGCTTTGTGCTTTGTTGCATCAGAATTGTTCAAGGTGAGTAGGAAGTGCTACGAGTTGACCCCTTTGCAAGTGGCTGTCTCAGAGCTGAGGGCTTCCTGGCTGGGGTCTCTGGCACATGCAGAGGCGATGGGGCCAGACGAGACTCTTCCTTTGAGTGATCACATTGTGTCTCCCCGCACCTTTGTGATGGGGAACAAATGGTGATGAGAGGTCCCTGGGCCTTGGGCCTTTTCCTGGGGAAAGCAGGGACAGGATGGTACGGGTGGTGGTGCAGGGATGATGCACACTGTAACTCCATAGGAGCTTGTTAACGACATGCCAAGCACTTCTATCTATTACTTTTACACCATTGATAAAGGCATAAAGGCAACCGAGACTTAGAGATGGGAAGTAACTTACCCAAAGTCACATAATTAAAAAGCAACAAACTCAGGCTGTCTGGTTCCAATTTCTATGCACATAACTACTAGACTACGCTGCCTTCTTCTGATGTAATTATAATCATTTTGGGTGACAGAAGCCTTCCTGGCTTGATTGCACTTATTTTATGACCACACGTGGTCAAATCACCCATCCTGCATCACCCTTCTGCTTATGCCCCTTTTCTGAGGCTATTATTGAGAATTTGTGTCATCAGACAGTAGCTCTGCCAGGGGGAAAGTGGGGCAGGCCCACCCTGGTTCTGATGGTCACATTTTATACCTGGTGAAAAATCCACCCAAAGCCATACCTTTGCATGTGAACTAAGGGAGCAGCGTAATAAGGAGACAGGCTGGGACCTGGGACCTGGGACCCTTGGCTGCAGGGCTTGCACCCGGACAAACGTCTCCTCCCGCAAGAAAATACAAAGAAACTATAAGGGACTAAAATAACTGCGTACATGTGCAGTTGCGGCAAATTATGGACAAGACGAAACAAAAAGACCCCCCAAAAAACCCCACCTGCCACTTCTGAAGAGCCGGGAGCAAAAGCACAGTACTGGGCATGCTCCTTGCACTCAACACCACCAAGGGGTGGGCAGACCACCTAGGACATCCCTCTGGTCCCACCCCTGGCCCTGCCCCTCCCCTCCCCTCATATAAGGAACCAGCTCGCCCCCCACTCCCCCCAGGGAGCTAGCAAGGGCACCTGCTGCTTGTTCTCGCTCCCCCCCTGCTGCAGCAGGGACCCCAATAAAGCCTTGCCTGAGCTCCTTATCTGGCTTCTGATCAATTTCTATTGATTAGGGAGTCCAAGAAGTCTGGCAGGTAAAAACAACACCGTGTTCAACAGACAATACTGTCGCTGTACGGGGTTTACTCCAGTCCAGTGTCTTCCACATCTGGGAGCGCAGATGTGAGCTGCCTTGGTGGAGAGACTCTGCTTTCCCTTGTTCACCACCACCGGCCTCTTGCCCCCCTCTCAGTCCACACCTACTTTCCATCACCACTGCCACCACACAGGAATCGGCGCTTCTGCACCATCAGAGATTTGAGTGGATTTTGGAGGATGACTTAAATGTTTTTGGAAGTACTTTTGAAGAGTGGCTGTAGAATTACTGTGAAAATCTGCATATGGCTTTTGCAGACGTTCCTCACTTGCCAGTGACTCATTTTCACAGGCGTATGGATTTGAAACCCCGGCCCAACCATCCATCTCTGTTTATGACTTGCGTCCTGGTCTTCGGGTAAAAAACGATGAAGAAGCTCCTTTGGGGAAGTAAGCTCCTTGCCCGCATGCCAGATAAATGAATACGTCGAGCTTTTATGACAACGTATAATTTTTAATCCCTTATGACACTGCCACACTATTATTAACATAAGAGGCCTCCTCAAATTCTTTTCCAGAACAAGATGGGCAATCATCACATAAAAATAAATGAAATAATATACGTAGCAGTGTTGTAAGCAAAAAAAAAGTGGTATTGGCCACATGAGAAATGCAAATCTGAATGTGCAGAAGCCAGTTCAGGACATGGATACCACGTAGCAAAGCTGTCTTTAATGAAGGATTGTTGTTTTTTTTTTGTTGTTGTTGTTAGAGATTTTTTTGATGTGGACCATTTTTAAAGACTTTATTGAATTGGTTACGATATTGCTTCTGTTTTATGTTTCGGTGTTTTGGCCGGGGGGCATGTGGGATCTTAGCTCCCCGACCAGGGATTGAACCCGCACCCCCTGCTTTGGAAGGTGAAGTCTTAACAACTGTACTACCAGGAAAGTCCCTAATGAAGGACTCTTAATGTCCTTGCAGGAATAATTCACCCCGCAAAAGCGTAAACTTTTTATCCTGAGCATAAATACTCAGAGTCACCCTGCTGCAGGGGATGTGCGTAAATGTGTCAAGTGGCTAAGACAGGGCTTAGTTGTGCTGTTTCTGAGGATGGGCCCATGGAACTGGATGGTTTGTTACACAGATATTTACTGGGCTCTATTCTGGTTATCTACTGCTGTGTAACAAACCTCCCCAAAACTTAGTGGCTGTAAACAACAAATTTTCACTATCTCTCAGAGTTCTGTGGATTGATGGGCTCAGCTGGGTGGTTCTCACTTGGGGGTCCCTCATGAAATGGCAGCAGAGTCTGGTGTCACCTGCAGGTGACATTTCTTACTCACATTTCTGGTGCCTGGGCTGGTTGGGAATCTCTCCAAATGGCTGGCTTGAGCTTCCTCACAGCATGGTGGCCTCAAGGTAGTTGGGCTTTTTGTTACATGGCAGTTGGCTTCCCTCAGAGAGACCAGATGGCGTCCCTCTCCAACATAACCAGTGTAGAACTGCAAGCCTTCTTATAACTCAGCCTTAGAAGTCGCTCTGCCCAAATCCATTGCTTCAAGGAATCACAGCCCAGCCCAGCCTCAAGGGAAGAGAGGAATACACTCCACCTCTCCGTGGGAGACAATGGGCCATGAAGACAGGGAGGAAAGAATTTATTGGCAGTCACCCTGCTGAAAAGATACCACACGTTTCAACCACGCTGCATAGTGTGGTGGTTAAGAGCATGGATCCTGGAGCTGGGTTGTGTCCATCACCACTGCTTACTAGCTGGGGGATTGAGGGTAGATCTCCTTAACTTCTTTGTCTCCGTTTGTAAAATGGAGATATTAACCACATCTACCTACATAGGTTGGTTGACATAGGGAGTTAATATCTGGAAAGCACTTACACTGGTACCGGTCACTTGGCCAGGGCCGTCCAAGTGTCTCCTAACTTAACTGTTAGTGGCTGCCATCAACAAAGTGTGTTAGAAGCCGCTCGTTAACAACAATGGAGGTAATTATTGGAGGGCAGGTGGATTATGGGTAAGCTTTTTCTTTCCAAAAATTTCCTTTAAGGTTGTTGTTATACCATCTTCATGAAACCAACCAAACCAAACCAAACCAAACCAAACAAAAAGCTAGCCCATTATAGTGGTGGCGTTGAGGCGTGAAGACAATGACAGCCTATATCTCTTTGTTCAGATGAGGGGTGCCCTCACCTACCCGGGAGATACAAACAGACCCACAGAATATCCGATGCTGGGACTGAGTGAGGTCCTCATAAAGCTTCATGTCATAAACTAAGAGCTGGGTCAGTCTCCGAGATGGCCAAACACCAGCTGGTGGTGGGACGGGTGGTCCATCTGGGAACTGGGGACAACAGACGTGAGTTGGCCTTTGGGCCTGGCCTAGCCACTTTCTGGCATTGTGACCTTTGGGAGAGACACTGAAGGCTTGGTTTGTGTACCTTCGAAACGGGGATAGTGATTCCAGCCTACCTACCCCAAAGCGCTGTGAAGTCCAAAGAAGAAATAGAAGGAAGGACTTTCACGATGGTTGGTTTTTATAAAAAACATCAAACATTGCTATTCCAAGGGTCTGGAAAGGCCTGTTTTTCTTTACACTCCCCTCCCCCATCCCTTCTCCCCATTCCCACTGTCCTCCTGGACGCGAGATGATTTATTTTAAACTCACCATTTTGGCTTCTGTTGGCACAAAAATATGTTTGAGATATGAGTCACTTCATTCTAGGGGTGAGTCTAAAGGGGATATTTTGGAGTGAGTTTAGGGGACTAGGTATGTATATAAATGGGCATCTGAAGGAAGAAATAGGTATAAAAAGGGAAAGCTAGCAGGTAAAGAATTTTGCTAATTAGTTGATCCAGGGCTGCCCTTACAGCAAAAGCAAAGAGATAAGTGCCTTAGAATTCAGTGACTCCCAGGCAGGAGAAGGTCAGACAGACCTGGGTTTATGTCCCGCCTCTGCACTCTACTCCAGTCAATCAGACGCAGCGAGTCCAGCAGCATCCCGGATTCCGAGGACCAAACGGATCGCGCAGAGGTGGAAGTGGAAGCGGAAGGGGCGGGGCCTTACCAGGAACTTCCGCTTCTGCTTCCAGTGGCTGCCTTGGGCGTTGGTGGCCACGTGGGCCTCGGTGACGGTCTTGATGAGCTCCCACTCCTGGTCGGTGGGCTCGGGCTTGTGACCGATGGATCTCTGCAGCTCCTCCCGCCGCCTCTTTTCCCGGTTCTCCTCGATCAGCTTCCTCTTGGCCAGACGCTTGCTGTCGTCCAGGACCACTGGGGGCGGGGAGGGACACAGAACAGACACTCCCCAGACACCTGGCAGACCCCGCGGGGGCTCGGGCCGCTGCACAGCCCGCTCAGGGAGCCTGCGGGGGTCACCCTGGGCCATTTCTCCCTTGGCAGCAAACTGCTATGGACGAGAGCCATCTTCCACCACTAGCCCCAGCACCAAACTCCCGATGCCTAGCCAGCTTTCTAGAACAAAGATGGGGGCGGGGTGGGGGGGATGGGGGCTGGACACTGGGCATCTCAGCCCCACAGAGTGGGGGGGGGGGCCCTAGATAAGAATGAACCAGAGACAGGTAAAGCCCATCCTACCTATAGGTTCACAGGTGTGTCTGTCTAGCCAGTCGTCTGAATTCACTCTTAGGGTTTCTGTTCCTTCCCTCCGCCCCGCAAATGGCTCTTACTAAGAAGAACTGCAGGTTCGGACAGTTCTTGGGCAGTAAACAGAGGCTGGCGATCCCTTCCTCAAAGGAAAAAGGAGTCTAACTCTTCATTCGTTTCCTGAAGGCTGATTGGAGTATGGCGGGGCCTAGCACAGGCCTCACAGGCACTCACTTTGCATTTCTCTCTACCTGGTCAACCCTCAAAGGTGATTAAAGAGCCCAGGCTTTGGAATCTAGAAAGACTCGGGTTTGAATCCCTATATTACCACATTCTAGCTGTGTGACCTTTGGCAGGTTACTGAGGCTCTCTGAGCTTTCATTTCTTCCCACATAAAATCCGATCAAGGGACTTCCCTGGCAGTCTAAGTGGTTAAGACTTCTCTTTCCAATGCAGGGGTTGCGGGTTCCATCCCTGGTTGGGGAGCTAAGATCCCACATGCCTCGCGGCCCAAAATCCAAAACATAAAACAGAAGCAATATTGTAACAAATTCAATAAAGACTTTTAAAATGATCTACCTCAAAAAAAAAAATCTTAAAAAAAATCGGATCAATAATACCCACTTTGCAGGGTATCAGTGTGATAACGCACTATACATGCTCAGGAAGTAGAGCCACGACTTTTATCATTCATGCAAAAGGGAAATAAGAAGGGCAGGTAACAAGAAACCTATATTTCTGTGGTTAATTTCCAAAACGAAACCATTTCACCAGACTCTCAGTAGCCCTCAGTGGCATGGAAAGACTCAGGTTTCGTACTACAGAGTCATAGGGTTTTACCAATGGAGGGTCCTCAGCTCTTATCTAGTGCAACTCCCTCCTTCACAGAGGAGGAAGGAGATCATGACTTCCTTAAAGTCACACAGCAAGTTCATGGCAGAGCCAAGGCAAGACCCAGGACCCCTGACTGTGGTCCTACAATATCACTGTCCTAGGGCCATTTCTTGAGGAAGCCGCGACCTGGTAGGGA